ATCAATTTACGAAGGCCCAAGGTTCAATCAAACACAAAGAAAGTTGTGATGATTATGGGTTAAGATTGTAAAGAGATGTATATATTTTTATGTTACCCAAAAGGGGAGTATGTTAGGAATAACCATAGTTACCTAACGTTGTTTGGGTAAATAATATATAAACCATGATAGCAAAGTTTAAATGTGTTTTTTCATTTTAAACTCTAAATGATATAATTTGGGTGCGGTTGAGAAACTGCCATAAGAGGGAGCTAGATAACCTGGATTGCTACTGGATTGATGGTTGATTGTTCTGCGTGTTCCCTGTTGCTGACGGCGAAGGAGGAAAGAGTTTTGAATGCTGCATATCTAATCCACTGTGAGAAGATATTTACTGGACTGATTTATGGATTGACATTGTAAGTTAACTGATTTTTTTTGACACTGGATTTTTGCAATTGAACAATCTCCGGACTGAACTGACTGAACACTAGTGAATGATATTTAGACTGTTTGACCCTGCTCAACTCTTAATGGAATAAACTACTCAACTAAGACAGTGTATCCATTTTTACTGAGTGTAAAAACTAAAAAAAGCTTTCTCTCATATTCGCCTGACTGCCTGACTGCTGTGCACATTCTGCTAGGGTATATCCCTAACAACAGTATTACAGCTAGTTCTCATTTAATGACCACTCATTCAGTGACTATTTAGAGTTAATGAGTGAGTGGTACTTACGACCAGTCCTCAAACATCCAGCCATCACAGCATCCCCATGGTTGCATGATCATAATCTGGATCCCTGGCACTTGATTCGCACTTACAATTCTGGCGTTGTTCCGCTGTTACATTGCCATTTCTTCACATTCTTGCAACACACACACACACACATACACACCGTCCCATTGTACTTGTGCCCAGTGGGAGAGAGTAACTTACTGGATCAACTCTTGCAACCTTTCCTACTGGCTTCCCCATTGACTTTGCTTTTGGAAAGCTGGCAGGGAAGGTTGCAAATGGGAATCGTGTGGCTGTGGGATGATGCGATCCCTCACGGGCTGTTCATGCAGCAGCCATCCCCAGTCCCATTGTACTTGTATCGCCCCCTCGCACTGTGCCTGGCCTGCCAGTTTGCTTGCAAGCTGCCTGCAATCCTCGCTTAACGGCAACAACCGCAAGTGCCAGGATTGCCATTGCTTTGTGTGGCGGTTACATAATCCTGTGCTTTACGACCACCTACTTAGTGACGGAAGTTCTGGTCCAATTACCATTGTTAACCAAGGGCTACTTGTAGTTCATATGGATTTGAAGATTCTGTATATACAAGGCACACCTGATAGCACTTTTCCAGTATTACACAATAAGAGAAATCTCATATAGTGTTCTTTTGCGTCATTTCCTGAATTAGTCTTTGAAGTATTATGTTTTATTTGTTTCCTTAATGTGATTTGTACATTGAGTTAAGTAATGTTTAACCTGCCGGGTCTTGACTGTAGGACTTTCATCTCCCTCTGGCACATGATTATCAAGTCAGAAGATGATTTAGTAGCCGGGGTGTGATTGCTGCTGGTGTGTTTCCATTTGCATTTATTGGCCCAAGCTCTCTGGGCCGTTTTCATCTCCTCTCGAAGCGGATGATGATGAAAGCAAGCAGAAAGAGATGTGTCTCAGTTGTTTGTGTGGCAAATTTCTAACCGTGGTAACAATTGACTGGAGTTATGTATCAGCTTTATATCCCGCCTCTTCCCCAGGAACCCATTGCGGTGTGGCATTCTTGCCTTCATTATATGTGGCTTTCCAGGAGATGCTGATCATATTGCCATAAAATTGGCGGAGCTTGTGAGCGCCCAGGAGACTCAAGATTTTGACTGAGGAATATGGACAGAGGTGGGACACAGTCCCCCAGATGTAAACCATAGAAATAAGATTTTAAAGGCACCGTGGCTATGTTGTCTTTGAGAGAAAGTGAAGGAGGTGGAAATTGAAGAAGGGCTTGTTGCCTGAAGTACAAAAGGCATCTGCCTGTTTAAATATAGAGACTGGAAATAACTGAGGTGGAATAGTAATATAAGGGAAAGCTAGGCGGTTGGGCAAAAAATACCTTTCTTTCAAGTCAAGCAACAGCATATTGACCAAATTATCCAAAGCAAAATCTCTTAAACTGAAATATAGCAGTGAAAGCAGCATGGTCTTGTCCTACCTGTAACAAGACTGAAAAGGATTTAAAAGTTGGTGGGGGTGCTACTTTGACTGGGGCCAGAGTGCGTCAGGGATGGATTTGAGCACTATTGTTTATGAATTCTCCAAATAATTCACTCCTGCCTCGTCCTTGTGGGTTGCTTGCCAAACCCTGCATTTGGAATGTTTGCACGAATTCGCATTGGAGATCAGCTGGAAAGCTAGAGTTATACATTAAGAAAGATACCAGCTTAGAGAGCAGTGTGCCTACTTCTGTTTGGGGAGAGGGAGTGCAAATCCTTTTTGGGCACTGGGCCTAAAAGCATATCTCTTTCACGTGTTTTTGTAATCTGAATCTGTTGAACTAGCCTGTACCAACTGTCAACCTAAATATTACTAGTGAGGGAGAACAAAGCGTCTTTATAGAGAGATCAGCCTTCCAACAGACCTGCACACATCAGGTGCAGCCAAATAGCCTATTCGGGCCCCCAACTGAGTGTGTGGAGCACTTCAGTTCTGCCTCCCTCCCCTCCCTTTCTTCAGCTTTCTTTAAATATGACAGGCCTGGAGCTTAGCTTCCCACCGCCACTTCTGCACGGCTGAGCAATTCTGACAGGTTGCGAAGAGAATCCCTTTCGGTTTATGGCTCCATTTCTGGGTCACCCCGCTTGTGATCTGGTGTCACTGGCGGCAGATGAGACATCCGTTTTATTTTAGAGAATGCTCAGAAAATTGATTTATCTCGCAGGAAGTCTGAATACACAGCCCAGATTTTTGCATTCCATCCGCACTTTTGATGTGTAGGAGTTGCCCTCAATTAGATCGGTATGAATTCACACACCACGTTAAAGTGATCGTCTGCTCTCTCAGATTTGGGCCTTTGGACCCAGGCATGGTTGGGTGTAAACCATGGATGTAGTGCAGTGCCGTTGTATACTTATGGATATGAAGAAGTCATACTTAAGTCTAGTTTTGAGGCACCCAACTTCCATTTCTCCTTGTTAGGGGCACTACTCTGAAGCAATTAAGAGTTGCCTTAGACAAGTTCTGGCAGTTTAGCTTAGTGCTTCCCACAGCTTTCTTAAGCCATCAGGAAAGATTTTTTTTGCTGACCTGAGAGCTAGGCCCAATCTTCTAGAGTTTGCAGCAGAAAGTCTTCCCTTGCTCCATTCCATTTTCTGGACTAATCCTATTGTTAACTAGGTCAAAACAGCCATTTCTCACAGAACTCACTCCAGATTAGATGGCCAATTAGGATTACACCTAGAGCCACAAGTACATTGTGCTGGCTACTCTAGATCAGGGGTGTCAAACCCTGAAGCATCACGTGACATATTGGGACTTTTTCCCCCTTCGCTAAACTGGACATGGATGTGGCTAGTGCGTGACACATACAGCCCCTGGGCCGGGAGTTTGACAGCCCTGCTCTAGATATATTTTTTAAGGGGCAAACTGTAAGATGGCTGTGCTGTTTGTTTTCCCACCCACAATGCGAGGAACCCCCTTGGACTGTTGTTTAGACTAGAGAGCAGCTGGGTCAACCAGCCAAAGGGCAAAGGCGATGCTTCTGCTTTGGAAAACGAATATGCAGGAGGGACTGGTGGATCCATCTCAACTGGCAAGTCCTCTTGAAACTGCTCCTCCAATATGACAAAAAGCAAGATCCAAACTCACTTGAGACCACTCTGTTGGTAAGCTTATCACCTGAAGCTTGTTTTAAATTTGGTTTGATTGAAATGGCTTTCTGCCACTGCCTTGTGGGATAAAGTAGGTTGGGTAAGTGTTTCTATGGTGTGCTTCCTGACACTTTTTGCTCTTCTATTTC